GGGTGGGGTTGGGTGGGTTTGGGTGGGGTTGGGTGGGGGTTTAAGGGGGGGGGGGGGGGTGGGGGGGGTTGGGAGGGGGGAATTTGGGGGTTGGGGGGGGGGGTTATGGGGGTTTGGGGTGGGTTTGGGGGGAGTTGTGGGGGTTTGGGGTATTTCTGGGGTGGGTTTGGGGGGATTTACGGGGTTTTTTTGGGTGGGTTTTGGGGATTTATGGGAGTTTGGGGGAATTTATGGGGGATTGGGGCTGCTCTGGGGTGGGTTTGGGGGTCACAGAGTTGGGGATCACAGTTTGGCATTTGAGGGGCAGATTTTGGGGTGTTTAGGGTTTGGGGGGCAGATTTTGGGGTGTTTAGAGTTTGGGGGACACATTTTGGGGTGTTTAGGATTTGGGGGACCCCCCTGACCCCCCGAAATTCCCAATCCCAGGCAGCTCCTCGGAGTACAAGATCAACAACAGGGTGGTGCAGCTGAGCGAGTACAGCGAGGAGCTGGAGAAGCTGGGAATCCTCATCAAGGCCAGGAACTTCCTCGTCTTCCAGGTGGGGAGGGGTTCCGGGGGGGGAGGTTTGGGATTTTTGGGGTTTTGAGGGGGATTTTGGGGATTTGGGAGTTTTTGATCCCGTTTTTCAGGGAGCGGCGGAGTCCACGGCCGTGAGGAACCCCAAGGAGCGCACGGCTCTCTTTGAGGAGATCCCCTGGGATTTGGGACTCCCCTTTTAGGATTTAGGGATCCCTTTTCAGGATTTGGGGATCTCTCCCAGGAATTCAAGGATTTAGGGATTCCCATTCCGGATTTAAGGATCTTTCACAAGGATTTGGGGATTTAGGACCATTTTTTTCCCATTTTCTCAGGGAGCAGTGGAGTCCATCGCCATGAGGAACCCCAAGGAGCGCATGGCTCTCTTTGAGGAGATCCCAGGGATTTGGGGATTTCTCTCAGGGATTTAGGGATCTCTCACAGGAATTTAAGGATTTAGGGATCTCTCACAGGAATTTAAGGATTTAGGGATCTCTCACAGGAATTTAAGGATTTAGGGATCTCTCACAGAGATTTTAGGCTCTCTCACAGGGATTTGAGGATTTAGGACAATTTTTTCCCCATTTTTCCAGGGAGCAGTGGAGTCCAT